AAAGCTTTTTAAGCTTTTGGTAATAAGCTTAAAAAGGCATTGGGATAACAGCATCTCTGAAAATTGTATGCTAATTAGTCATTTTTTTATTTTGCTGTGCTTTTTGTTTGTTTGTTTTACTTTTAAATTTTTAATCAGGAACTGGTAGATATCTTTTAAATCACTAAGTCCAGTTCTCTTGATTACATATGTGATGAACCTAGTGATACATCTTAGAATTTGCGGGAGCTTTTTAAAACTTCAAACATCTAGAAATACTAGTATATAGTACAGTTCAATTATTCAGGTCAAACTTGAATATGCTCAGTTTCTGCAGCAGGGCTTTTGTGCTGCAGCACACTTTGGAAACAAAAGACAAATGAGAACCAAACTGGGTTTTTTTATTTTTTACGGTAGAAATAAATGCTGTTGTGGGTTTAATTGTGTCTCCCAAAAAGGTATGTTCCAGCTCTAACCCCTGGCGCCTGTGAACGTGACCTTATTTGGAAATAGGGTCTTTGCAGATGTAATCAAGTTAGGTAGGATGAGGTCATACTGAATTTGGTCAGCCTTAATCCAGTGTCTCCTGTCCTTGAAAGAAGAAGGAAATTTGACTTCTGGGTATTTATCTGAAGGAAATGAAAGCACCGTCTTGAAGAGAAATCTGAACCCCTATGTTTGTTGCAGCATTTTTGCAAAAGACAACCAATGTTGTCTGTCAGTGGATGAATGGATACAGAAAACATGGAACGTGATTCAGCCACAAAAAGGAAACCCTGCCTTGTGCAATAACATGGAACTTCAGGGCATTGTACTAAGTGAAATAAGTCAGAGAAAGACAAGTTCTGTATGATCTCCCTTACATGTGGAATCTAAAACATGTTTTATAGAAGCAGGTGGGTGCATCCCAGGGTGAGGGAGGTGGGGAAATGTGTGAAGCTGGTCAAAGTATACAACCTTCCAGTTATAAGATGAAGATCGGTGAGTCTAATGAGTCCCAGAAGACAGCATAATGACTATAGTTAATACTGCATTATACACATATATCAAATCACATCATACACTTCAGTGTTTTGTGCCATGTCTCTCAAAGCAGGGGGCAAATAATAGGAAAAAGGGCACTTTGGACACACACAACGTCGTGAGACAACAGAGGCATGTATAGGTTGGAGTGATAGATCTTCAGGCCAAGGGACACCAAGGATTGCCAGCAGCCACCAGAAGCTGGGAGAGGGGCCTGGAACAATCCTCCAGATCTCTGTAAGGAGCCAACCCTGCTGGCCCCTTCACGGCTGATTTCTGGCTTGAACTATAATAATACATTTCTGTTGTTTTAAGGCACTCGGTTTGTGGTAATTTGTTAGGATAGCTGCAGGAAGCGACCAAATGTTAATGTAGAGAATTAAAATCTAGAAATATGACCCCCCTTATAATTTTATAAAATCACTTTTCCCCCTAAGATTGTATAAAAGTAAAAAGGGGTGTCGTAAGGCATATCCCACACACAGATACAAATCGTGAAGGCATTGTTTAATGCAATTGGAAGGAGAGAAATGCTTTGGCCTCTAGCTAGAGCCTTGAGGTTTTCTTTTGCTCATTTTTTTGGGGGGTTAAAATATGTTTTTATCAACGTTAGAGAGAGAGGAAGGGAGAGAAGATAGAAACACTGATGAAAGAGACATCCATTGGCGGCCTCCTGCACGCCCCCTATTGGGAATTGAGCCCACAGCCAGGCATGTGCCCTGACCAGAAGTTGAAACCTGACCTCCTAGTTCATAGGTTGATGCTCAATCAATGAGCCACACTGGCCAGACCTTTCGCTCTCTAAAAAAAGTTCCTGAAAATGAATGCGTGATGCTTACTTTAAAAAAAAAAAAAGTTCACAATTCCTTTGCCCACTTCAGTGAAATGCCATAAACACTGACTTTAAAACCTTTCCTGTGTTTTACAGATGTTCCCAGAAGACTGTGGGTTTTATTTAATTGAATGTATAGGGGTGACATTGGTTAATGGTGTACAATTCTATAACACATCAACTGTATATTGTTTATATTGTTTTGGGTGTTCACTACCCCAAGTCAAGTTTCCTTCCATTATCATTTACCCTCCTATATCCTCTTCTACCTCCCTTTACTCTCCTTCCCCTCTGGTAATCACCATGCTGTTGTCTGTGTCTACGGGGTCTTTTTTGCTTAATCACTTCACCCTTTTCACCCAGCCCTACAGCCCCCCTCCCCTCTGACAGCTACCAGTCTGTTCTCTATCAATGAGTCTGTTTCTATTTTGTTAGTTTATTTTATTAAATTCTACATATGAGTGAAACTATATGATACTTGTCTTTCTCTGACTGCCTTATTTCACTTAATACTCTCCAGGTCCATTCATGCTGACTCAAAAGATAAGATCTCCTTATTTTTAATGGCCAAGTAATATTCCGTTGTGTAAATATACCACAGCTTTTTTATCCACTCATCTACTAATGGGTACCTGGGATGCTTCCAAATGTTGGCTGATGTAAATAATGCTCCAATGAACAAAAGACCCCTAACAGCTATAGCAATCTTGAGAAAGAAGTACAAAGTTGGAGGAATCATGCTACCTGGTATCAAAGTATATTACAAGACCATAGGAATCAAAACAGCCTGCTACTGGCATAAAAACAGACATACAGATCAATGGAACAGAATAGAGAACTCAGAAATAAATCCCGGCCTTTATGGTCAATGAATATTGACAAAGGAATCAAAAACATACAATGGGGTAAAGATAGTCTATTCAATAAAAGGAGAAAATGCTTTGGCCTCTAGCTAGAGCCTTGAGGTTTTCTTTTGCTCATTTTCTTTTTGGTTAAAAAATATGTTTTTTAAGTGAAAAAAAGAGAAAGAAACTAAACCACCTTCTTACACTATACCCAAGAATAGACTCAAAATGGATAAAAGACTTAAATGTAAGTCATGAAACCATAAAAATCCTAGAGGAAAACATAAGCAGTAATATCCCGGACATTTCTCATAGCAATAGTTTCCCCTGTTGGGCAAGGGGAAAAAATAAACAATTGGGCTATATCAAACTCAAGAGTTTTTGCACAGCAAGGGGAAAAAAAATCAGCAAAATGAAAAGACAGCCACTGAATAGGAGAACATATTCACCAGTGATACATTTGACATTTTTAATATTCAAAATTTATAAAGAACATATAAAACTCAACACCAAACAAACAATGCAATTAAAAATGAGCAGAGGGCCTGAAAAGACTGAGGTTTTAACTATCAAGCTAGGAGCCATATCCTGAAATGCAACAAAGAAACTCGGGGAGGCCTCAGGAAACAGCCAGTGCTCTTCTCCCTCAGATGAAGAACCCCACTGGGGTTGGTTCCTTGAATAACAAACACGTGCCCTGCCTCAGCTTGACCAGGGGGGGTACTTATTTCACTTAGTATAATGCCCTCAACTTCCTAAAACGGCCTGAGGGTGTCATTTCTAATACAGTATTTAGGAGGGTAGGTTATAGCTTTTATCTTTTCCTACTTCCACACACAATTCTGGACACGGAGGAGCACTGCTTGCTACTAAAAAACACCACCAACCAAGAATGCCCAGCCCCAAGAGGGGTGGTTTGATGTGGGCCATCACGTTTCTGGAAACAGACCCAGTGGAGTAGCAGGGAGAGAAGTTCCTTGGACTGAGAAACTCAGCTTGGCCAATTTCTGTGTGTGGTGGAGCAGTAATTCCAGCTTCTCTGGAATGACAGAGGCTCAGAACAGACGGGGCCCTGTCGGACCCTCGGTCTCTTCTTCTCTGCAGGCAGGCAGCCAGCTCCTCAGCTCGAGTTCGCTTGAGGAGGGGACGCCCAGCTAAGTGAAGGTCTGCAGCTTCAGCGGGTGGTCGAAGGCCGGGTTCTTGTAGGCCACCAGGTGCGCGCGGGAGCACTGCCTGCGGGCCCGCCGGCAGAGGCACGCGGACAGCACCAGGGTGCTGACCAGCAGCAGGCCGCCGGCGGCACTCAGCCCCGCGAAGATGAGCAGGAAGCTGGGCTTGGTGGTGAAGGAGGCGCACGGCCCCCGGCGGCCCGAGGCCTGCGGCCGGCTCAGCCCGGCGCGGTTGGCCGCCTGCACGCACACGCGGTACGTGGTGCCCGGCGACAGCCCGTACAGCGGGTGCTGCCGGGCCGTGGCGTAGATGTCCCCCACCGCGGACCGGTTCCCCGGCCGGCCCTCCGCGGAGTAGCGCACCCGGTAGCTGCGCACCACCGAGTTGGGGGCGCACCAGCGGACCAGCGCGGACGTGTCCGTGATCTCCGACACGCCCTGCAGCTTGGGCGGGTCTGGGACGGCGTCTTCCTGGCTGAAGCCGGGGCACTGGCACTTCAGGCGCCTCTGCAGCTCCGCGCACGGGGTCTGGAGGTGCTGACAAGGGTGGTAATCGCAGGCCACGCCCTGGGGAGGCGCGCTCACCTTCTCCCTCTTCCCCTCCTCTTCCTCCTCCTCCTCCTCCTCCTCACTGGAGTCGTCCACGACCAAGACTGGAATTCCGTCCTCGGAAGGACTTGCGCGGGGAGCCTGCGGGGTGGCCTGGGTCGTCCGGTAGTGCCGGGGGCTGCTCAGTGGGTTCCGGGAGGCAGGGAGGAGACCACGTTGTTTGCTGGTGGGTGGGAGGGAGGCAGCTGAAATAGGGTCCAGGACATGCGAGGAAGTAGGTGCATGTTCTGTCAAGGCCGGGCTTGCAGCGCTGGAGTTCCTGGGACCTGCTGTAGAGACGGTAGTGGAGGCAGAGGCCCCCGCCCCGACAGCTCGTGAGGGGGTGCCCACAGGGTGGGAGGGGGCCTTGGTGACAGCTTGAGAGGAGGGGGCTGTGCTCAGCAGCGGGGAGAAGGGACCGGGCGTGGAAGGCGCGTGGGTGGAGCCCGCAGAGGAGGGTGGGCTGGAATCACGGAGGGTGGTGCTTTGGTCCCGGGGGCACACGCTGGGCAGCTGGGACAGCGCCAGGGGGCCGGGGAAGGCCACGGGGGATCCTGCGCCTGGTGGTGCGCACACAGTGTCCGCTGCCCTAGGGGAGAGGTCAACCGGTTAGAACAGTGGTTCTCAACCTTCCTAATGCCGTGACCCTTTCATACTGTTCCTCATGTTGTGGTGACCCCCAACCATAAAATTATTTTCGTTGCTACTTCATAACTGTAATGTTGCTACTGTTATGAATCGTCATGTAAATATCTGATATGCAGGATGTATTTTCATTGTTACAAATTGAACATAATTAAAGCATAGTGATTAATCACAAAAACAATATGTAATTATATATGTGTTTTTCCGATGGTCTTAGGCGACCCCTGTGAAAGGGTTGCTCGACCCCCAAAGGGGTCTCGACTCACAGGTTGAGAAGCGCTGGGTTAGAAGGGACTTGGCATTAAGGCCGCTTTCTGCGCTGGCCTTTGAGTGCTCAGTGCAGACAATCCCTCTTGCTTCGCCTTGCCAACAGGAACCCCATGGTGCGGGGTAGAGCGCATCACCTCACTGACCTCAGGGTGACCTGTGGAGGGGCTCCCATGAAGCAGAAGAGGAAAGGGAAGCTCAGGTTAGCAGGGCCAGCAAATGGCAGAGCCTAACCGCGGGCGAGCACCGCGAAGGGCCGTCCAGATTCTCCGAGTTCTCACCTGGCTGCCTCCTGGCCATCAGGACTGGTCACAACACTCAGACTGGCCAGCATTTTCTGAGTGCTTACCACCTTGCCAGGGACTATGGTTAGCACCTTATGTATCAGTGAATTCAATCTGCACCACCGTAGGAGGCAGGCACTGTTATCCCCATTTCACAGATGAGGAGGGAGAGGCCCAGACAGGTTAAGTAATGCAGCGAAACGCACAGTGCTAAGTGGGGCGAAGAGCCTGCACGCTCAGCCTCTTCATTAATACCACGTGAGACCCTTCGCCGCAAAGGGCCTGGGTGCTTGTCTTCGGAATCAACATGAAGAGGAGAAGAGGACAGAGTGCGCCTCCCTTGTTTCCAGGCTTGGGTTGGAGGTGAGAAAAGAACCCCCACGGGATGGGGGGGGAATGTCTACCAAGGTGAGCTGGTGGAGCTGGTTTGAGGGAAGTGTTCCCAACCCACATCCTTTTCTGGTGGTTGACCTGGGCATGGCTCCCACTGCAGACAGCTCTTCCAGCTAAGAGCCAACGAGAAGTCTTTGTAGAACTTCTGTCTGTCCCACAGGAGCTCTGTGAGCCTGCTGGCCTTGGACTGAGTGATAGAGGGGGCCAGGCTCCATTTGGGGGGATTCAGGGGAATCCAGTGGTTAAGAGCACAGTTTTGGACGAAGATACATTCTGCTTCCTCCACCCAGAAGTTGCATGAATCTAAGCAAGTAGCTCCCCTCCTCGGGCCCCAACCAGCTCATCTGTAAAACGGGACAATGACAACACTGCTTTGGCAGAGACAAGCCTACTGTTCATTTAGCCCATTTCTTTTTCCTACATGGCATCCAGCTAGACTACATTTTCCCAGCCTCCCTTGCAGTTAAGCGTGGATGTGAATGGAAGTGATGGGCCCTACTTCCTGATCTGGCCCATTAAAACCTCCCATGTCTGTTCCTCCATGCTTTCTGCCCCTCTGTGTCCCTGGATGTGACTGCCTGGGGGCTATCTTCCCTGCCCTACATTGCCCATCTTCCCAGCCTGCTCTTGTGAGCCAGACTTCAGCTCCGGGAGGCTGACCCTCACCCCTCAGTCACCCATTTTGTACATGTGTTACCTGCTTAGGATAGTCCTGTTTACATCCATGAGGAGCCAGGACAACTCGCAGCTGCAAGTGAGGGGGTTGCCAAAGAGGTTGATGGATAGAACCTGGGAGGAATGCAGGGTCCAAGGAGGGAAGGAACTCAAGTTGCAGCTGAAATACACAGAAAATAAATGAGGGCAGGCTTTTGCAATCAGGTCAAAACTATTCCCAGTCATAGCGGTGTATGGAAACCCATTCTGTCAGGGATTAGTGATCTCACTTTGGGCAAAACTCTTAATGACCTTGGACTTTCTTTTCGTCATCCTTTCACAGATGAGGAAACTGCTCTATAAAGGTGTTAAGTAACTTGCCCCAACTCACACAGCTGGTAAGTGCTGGAGTCAGGATTGGAGCCCAGGCAGTTTGGCTCCACATCTTATGCCTTATACACAAGGTTGCGTCCGTCAAAAGCTCAAAAGAAGATCTGAGACAGAGTTACCACTCATCAACATAGCACCACGACCATCATTATTATCACCACTAGAGGCCCGGTGCACAAATTTGTGCACTGGGGGCAGCGGGAGAGGTGTGTGTGTGTCCCTCAGCCCAGTCTGCAGCCTTTTGCAGTCTGGGAGCGCTCAGGGGATGTCACTGCTGCGGAGGCTCCCACCACCACTGCTGCGCTCACTGGCCAAGCCGTCAGCCCGGCTTCTGCATTGAGCGTCTGCCCCCTGGTGTCAGTGCACGTCATAGCGACCGGTCATTCCACCATTTAGTCTATTTGTACATTACCCTTTTATTATATAGGATTACCATCACTGTCACCAACACACCACATTACCAGCATCATCACAATCACCACTGCCACCATCACCAGCACTTTCATCATTACCATTGCCTTTATCACAACCACCAGCATCTGCACTAATGTTATAGAGCACACACCGTGTGCCAGGCACAAAGAGCTCTGCATATTCTATCTCCTGTCCCTTTTGACAAGCCCTAAGTAAAGTACAGTGGGGCCTTGACTTACAAGTTTAATTCGTTCCGAGACCGAGCTCGTTAAGGAGCTCGTTAACTCAAATTAATCTGTCAACTCAATGCAAAAAATCGGCCGAGAGACAGCTGGTATCTCAAAAAACTCGTTAGTCGGGACACTCATAAGTCAAGGCCCCACTGTACTCTGGTTGGGTCTAGAGCTAGCAGAGAAAAGAGAGAAGTGGTTACACTGAGAGTGATGGATAGAACCTGGGAGGAATGCAGGGTCCAAGGAGGGAAGGAACTCAAGTTGCAGCTGAAATACACAGAAAATAAATGAGGGCAGTGGGGAAAAGCGCCCACTTCCCAGGTTCCAGTTTGGGTTCCCAGGAAAGGAGGTGGCCTGGGATCATCATCACAGGGACACTGTCCTTCCTGTTAGGAGTCAGGAAGGAGGTGGATATAGTGACACTTCGGACATCAACAGGCCAGAAGACACCAGCCCTGGGTCCTGACCACTACTAGGACCTTCCTACCCTCTCATCTTTCTTTCCTAGACCCCTGGAAGGGCTGACTTCCCACATGGAGAAGCAGATGGATGGAGAAATAGAGAAGAACCTAATGCCCTCATCCCCTCTTCCACTGCAGGTTTCTCATCTGGGCTTAAAGGAAACCTTACATGCATGAGAGTTTGGGGTTTCAGTGTTACTCTGGAAAGCACTGAGTTGCATGGTTTTCAGGCTGGATGGACTATCTGGGACCTGTCCAAGATGCCATCCAAAGGATGAGGAAGAACAAAACCCCAGAGTGGACCCGAAGGAGCCACAGGAAGAAAATTAAATTAAAGTCTGGTAAGCTCTATAAGATAGCTACACCGATTCAACATGGGGGAACCGGCAAAATCCATCCATGTGACTCAGAAACACTTACTTCTGCAGCAGAAGGAGCCGTAGGCGAGGGGTGTCTTGGAAGATGTGTGTCTGGACAGAGGTGAGTGCTAGGGAATCTTGACAATCCAGTTGTTGCAGGTCAGAGTTTATCTTGAAAATGTCCCCCTCCAGGCTCCTCAGCATGGGCATCTTCCTCAGGTAGAGGGATGTGAGCTTGGGCAGGTCTCCCATCCACCTCGGCTGAACTGAAACACAGAGGGGAAATGGCCCACTACCTGGAAGCCACCAACCGAGGAGGCTGGCAGGGTAGTACGGAAACACCAAGACTGACCAAGTGAGTTGTGAGGCCATTGCTGAGTATGGAAGCTTTAGGAAGCTCAGAACTATGGCCTATATCACCTGAAAGACCAGTCCTTCCTTCCTGGTTAGTGAGGCGACTGAGGCCAGAGAGGAGAATGACTGGTCCAAGGCCACACAGCTGGGAAAGGACAGGGCCAGAACTTGAACCCAGGACACTGTCTCCAACTCCACTGCTGCCCTGCCCTCTTGTTAAACTCCACACAGAAATACCCCAAACTTCACTCCGATGGCTACCAGGAGTGGGGAACTATTTGAGAAAGATAAGGAAGGAGGAGAGAGGGGCAAGGTGGAGGAGGCCCAGACACCTAATTGTGCAGCTCTCCCAATACTACATGGAGAACGTGCCCCTTCCCCTCTGTGTCCAGTTCTCACTCTTCTCTTCCTTTGTCTATGGCGGGACAGGCGAGGACAGACACATGAAGGGTTTTTAAACAGAACAAAACCAACCTTGTGAGCCAGAGTCAGAACACACCAAGGAGAGGAGAACTGGTCCTCTCACCTCCCTCCTGTGTCTGGTTTGAAGGGTCAATAACTGCAGCAGAATTTTAGCCAACCAAGTAGCAAAGTCCCTGAGTTCATCCCCAGGGCACACGCTGCTTCATGGAACTGCCTGTTTGATTTTGATCAGCCCAAAGCAATGCATCCACTCCCCATTCTACCAGCAGTCCCCAGCTCTGCTGGGTCGCAGTAGAACCGCGTGACTGAAGGTTTGGGCTCTGGACCCAGAATGCCTGGGTTTAAATTGGGAGGCACCACTTAAAATGAGCTGTGAGACCTCGGGCCAGTCATTCACCTTTCTGGGCCTTGGTTTCCTCATAGGCAACACCGAGATAACGCTAGTAGTTCCCTTCTCTTGGGTCTCAAGGAATTAACCCCCGTTTGGCCCTTGCACGTGGCTCAGGCAATCTAGGCGGAGTTCTTTATGAGCAGCCCTGTGAGCGACCCCTCCAAGAACCCGGTCCCGGGAGCACCTGTACAGCCGCCTCTGAAAACTCGGGGCGCCCAGGACTCACCCTGCTTGAGGAGCGTGCCGCTGAGGTCCAGGACCTCGAGGGAGGCCAGGGGCGCGAAGGCGGCGTCGGCGATG